TTAAGCTTCAGATGGACTACTGCCAGCGATCCATCAGCCCAAATGAGCGTTCATTCAGCCACTGCACTCAGCAGAAGCGCGCGGCCGATGACCCAAACAGGTGAGATCACAAAATATCCGACATGTCAGAGCAGGGTCCGTGTCTGAATAATGCAGAATGCAGCAGAAGCAATTAATGAGCTTTGACCATGAAAGAACAATCACCCTCTCAGCTTCTTTCTTCTGCCCCCTTTACTCAGCTGCGCACGTCCGCTGACCGTTAATAATGTAAGCAGTCAAAGCTTAATTAAAAATGTCGGGGGGGGGGGGGGTGGAACCTGTAATTACTGTTAATTTGTCATATTGGGTGGGGTTCGGAAATGATAGCTTCGGGCTGAGGCCAGGTCCGGTCTGATTTTTTGGACTCAAACGCAACTTTAGCACAGACTCAACCTGAATTCAAACCCACAACCTCATGATTACAAGATGGCAGCTCTGACCACCCAGCTCCTGCAGGCCCCGGTTAAAGCTTCAGAGCACACAAATCCTGTTTCAAGAGCGCTACAATTTCAGTGAAACTCCTCAAAATAAAGGAGTCACTCTTTTCCCACCTCCGAGGCTCCACAATGATTAAATTCATTAAAATCTCTTCAACTAATTGCAGCTCATTTATGGCAGAGTAAATATTCAATTAATAGTGCCTTTTTAATAACTGTGATGCCTTCAATCCATCGCACACAACCTCCCTGTCATTAATTAAAATTTCTCTTCTGAGGTCAATTCAATTCCCTTTTACTGTTCATTAGCCTTAATGCAGAGCAGCAAAATAATCTATTAAAAGCTGTGTTCATCTTCCCTGAGCCATGTTCATGGGGGTGTTACATATTAGTCAGCGAGTGAAAAGGGGCTGGGGAGGGTTAAGCTTTCGCTTTGGTTCCCTCCAGGGCAAAGAAAAAAAAGTGGGCTTAAGCTCTTCCTATGTCAGGGTGGTGAGTTGAGCCCCAGCAAGCCCGAGCGGAAGCTCTTTACCGGTCTTGGTAACGTGTTAGGCCAAGGCTGACTGGCTGCCAAGCAGCCAGAGACAGAGCGCAGATGAATCAGCATTGACAAGGTGAAGCCAGCTTTGTGTTCACTCGCTGACAGCTCAGGTGCTCGGAGAGATGGAGACACAACAGATTACATTTAGGCCACTGCAGGAAAAGCAGGCCAGAAGACGGGGCAGATAAAAAAAACACACAGGGAGGAGAGGGAATCCAAAATGGCTCTTTAGACTCTGGCAACTTTTCTTACAGTTAAAAGAGGTGGTTGGAGCTGGGTTGCCAGTTGCTCCCAAAGGCAAAGTGTGACACAGAAAGGAAACCAATAGATTAAAGTGTGTCAGATGAAATATTGTGAAATAAGATTCAGCTGACAGTGTTCCTTCATTAAAGACAGCACAATAAGGGATGTGCAGTAGGACTCAGCTCACGTTATTCTACTATCTGAGCGAAGTAAACATCCTGCCTGAACCCCTGAAAACCTCCACTCTGAGACCAGGATTCATAAACCGTGTGTTTCAGAGAGGACACAGGCTGTTGTGCACACAAACAGCTGAACTGCAGCAGAAAAGCTGAGGATTCACTCAAAAAAATGTCTGAGACATATTTTAATTGCGTTTAATTATCAACAACCAAGCCATGTCTGTTTAGGTGCTGTGGTTACACCGACCACCACAATCATAAACCACTACAACTTCACTACAGAAGTTCTGTGTAGACTAAAGACCACCATGGGCCCATCACATTCTATTAGGCATAATAGGAAGTCCACTGGATTTTTAAAACATGCCAGAAGACCCAGCCAAGACCCTGCAAAGACCATCCATGTGTTTAGTTTCATCAGAGCAGGGTCAACTGCTATAAGACCAGGTCTAAATAAGAAGTCCATGAAAGCAAAGGTATACCCAACAGCTCCTTGGTGATTGTGACAGAATGTAACACTGTACATACAGAGCCACAAGGCTGAAGACTCACTGTATGCTTAGCATTATTTCCCAGATTAACAACCAAGTTACTGTATTCCAAAACTCTGCATCTCCAAGTTGTCCTGAAATTCAAATTGAAAATGTGGAGATAGGTGAAACAAAATGAAAGTCTATTGTTTTATGAGAGTAGGGATGAACAATTTAAATACCCATTCAATTGATTTCGCCTAATGTTTTGTGTCATGTGGGAAGAGGGTAAATGTTCTCTTAGGGAGCATCCATCTATACAATAACCACAAGGCAGAGCTGCTGCCAGACAACAAACATCAACGCTACACGAGTTTATGTTTTCTTGTCATTTCAGCGATGACAAAAGAGAAAAAGTGGAACTAACAAAAATGAAGCGTAAAAAAATATATAAACCAAATTGAGAAATGATGAAGCAATCAATTCAACATTTTTATTCAAATCACTATATTCTGTTTCTTCATGTTTTGCTTCTGTTTTTTTTTTAAATTTTTTTACAAACAAATTGAACTTCATTAAATTGATCCTTTGGAGAGAATAACAACTCTCATGGCTCTCCAAAGGTGTTTGTCTCTATAATCAGTTGCATAAACAAACCTCCAAATGCAGTTTGGTTTAAAAAAGACAATTACAAGGTGGTGGGCGATTCTCTTCTGCTGAAACTGAATCTCTAACATTGTATACCTCGAGGAACACGGTTGAACGCCTTCTCCAAGTCCACAAAACACGTGTAGACTGGATGGGCAAACTCCCATGACCCTTCACCAACCTTAGTGAGGGTAAAGAGATGGTACCATGTTCCATGGCCAGTACGGAACCAGCATTGTTCCTCCTGAACCTGATGTTTGACAATCGATGAGACTTGCATCTCCAGTAACCCTGAATAGACATTACCAGGAAAGCTAAGGGGAATGATATCCCTATATTTGGAACACACCCTCTGGTCCCCCTAGTTAAAGAGGGGAACCATTACCCCAGAATACCACCCCAGTAACAGAACCACTACCCCAGAATACCACCCCAGTAACATTGCTCCCAATGTCCATGTGATGTTGCAAATGTGTCAACCAAGACAACCATGAACATCCAGAGCCTTACAGCCTTAGTTTAAACTTGAAATATTCATTAGTGAACATTCATAAAATATATGCATGTCCTGCATCATTTCATATGTTGTTAAACTGCATCAAACTAAAACATAAAACTGATATTTTGTCCTATTTCCTTTTTCCATTATCAGAAACTTCCCATAAGAGAAAATCTTCGTGTTTTTCACTTTTTTGTAGATATCACAAAACTAATTTTAACTGCTTCATTTCTATTTACTTATTGGTAAAAAAAAAGATAAATAAAAAAACGTTCTTGTTGCTCTCAGTTTGAACATCAAAACTCTGATGTGTGCCTGCACCATCTTTCATTGGGTTTACTCTGGTGGTGCTGATATTTTTCCTACAGAAATACATTGAAAACTTGTCAATGATTTTAAAAGCATTGTTTTCTTTAAAATTTATCACAGCTTACTTTATTGTTTTAGGCTTGGTTGCTTATGCTTTTTAGCTTTTGGTATGTTGTTAGCTACCTTTTGATTTTAGTTAGAATTTTTCTACGTTATGCAATGGGCTAGTTATTTGCATGTTTTAGCTAGTGTTTTACTATTGCTAATCTCAACTAACATATTTCATTACCTTTAGCTCTTATCTAGCATTTAGCTAGTTTTAATTTGCATTTGCTACTTTTCGTCAGCATTTTGTCACTTTTAGCTTTTATCAGCCATCCAGCACTCAGCATTCACTACATTTTTGTAGAGAATGCAATGTCTCTTCTTTAATTTAAAACCTGACTGACAAAATTCTGATCCCTACAGAATAAGCTCATTGTTTTGCTGCTAAATAAAGTCAGGAAACACTTAGAAGTCCATGTCCTGATTAAAACTTGACATTATGTTTCGGTTTCTATTTTTACTGTGGTACATGGGACATATCTCCTAAATCTCACAGACTCCACTACCAGTGGAGAGATTAACTCCAGTTCACCACTGAAGCAGATGTAAACAGGCACTGACCTATAAAAGCAGAGATTTTGAATTTCTTGCACAGAGCAATTTATAGCCGATTTGATTTCAGAGATTTCATTGACCTCCTGTGGGCCACATCAGGCCCACAGGCTGTAAGATGCCCATGACTGCTCTAACACTTTCTGCCCCAGCCTCATTCTGCTGCTATAATCCAAACGATACAGCAAATCAGCAATAAAACCATAACTGTGGACATATTGCAAGGTAGAGACACACTGACACATTCTAAGGGATAGAAATCCCCCATCAGGGATAAAACCTGATCAAAGTCCAGTCCAAGGACTTTCCCAGGGTCTTTCTGAGGTCTGTCATAAGAAGAAATCCACAGTGGCAGCAAGGTGCCATGGGTGGTTAGCTGCAGTGCATCCCTACAGTTGCCCAAGGGCAACCCTGTTCTGACTGTTGGGAAGAAAAAAGAAAAAAACTACCGGTACTCATAACATTAATCTTTCCATGCAAGTTTGCGCTTTCGAAGGCAGCCCATCTGTGAAGGCTTCCCAATTAGGTGCTGTCATATGGCACATGATGGAACAGATTTCTGTCCTTGGTGCACCACTGTATAGGAGAAAATAATAAACAATATGCTCAAGTAATCTGTTGTTAGGCTGCAGGGTTTCAACACCGAAGCCCTCAGAATCACATTCAAGTTTCTCTTTAACCGGAGCACAAGCTTTGTACATCCTCAAATAAGTGGATTTTGTTGCATTTTATCTCCAAAGGAACGCTCCTTAGACAAATAGCTCACATTGTCTGCCAACGCTAACCGAAGCAAAGATTATTGATCAGGGGAACATACCTTATCAAAGTACAATAGCTGTGAAACAGAACCAACACAAAAGCAGCAGAGTAGTGCAGCAGCACATCTTCAGGAACAAATTGGACAAAAGAGCAGCCACCAAAGACCGTTCATTCATCAAGTCGACTGCGGAGATAGCATCTGTGTTCGTGTGTGTTTACCTTTCGTCCGCCTGTGTTCAGCTTTATGGGCGTGAGGAAGGGGTCAAAGATCATGTGGCTGGTCTCAATGTTCACCGGAGACTGCCTCTTTCCGACTGAGCACAGGTTCCAGGCAGAGTTTACCAAGCCCCAGAATGACGGCACTAAACAAGAACAAAAGATGCAACAAAAGGGTGAACATCTGCACCAACAAGATAGCATGCTCTGTGCTACAACGGGTGCTACAGTGGAGGTTTTTACATTTTTTTCCCTGAACGTTCTACATGACAGACTCACAGCGAGATGTATAATATCAGATTTTAGTTAACGGACTGGGATGTTTGCAGCTAAGAAGTTTAAATATAAATGAATTGGTCAAACCTTGACAGTAACATTATGTGAACCCTCATCTGATATCACATGATGTCGTAGCGTGTTTGTTGTTCTCAGCTATTACCACACAGCTCTATAGTGATAAAATGGTTAAGTTACAGCCATTTTGTGTTGGATAATGTGAATAGGTTGTGGCAGCCATCTTGAATCCAGTTGACTTCAGATGTTAAGCAATTGTAGATGCATTCCATGATATATTTTGCTAACAGACACAAAAAAAGTGATGCCGATGGTCACGGGCAAATTTTTAAACGAACACCTTTTGCCAAATGTTTTTTTTTACATTTTTCTTTATTTTTGCTAATTTTGTCAGGACCACACTGTTCACAGGAGCACATTATTCTCAACTGAGTCAAACACATTTGTGTACTTTCTGTGGGCTTTTCTGAAGCTGTGGGAAGAGTTGTGAAATAACATTGGTGAAATAAACATGGTACACATATTAGGTACTATTAACAGTGTTTACTGACTTTTTACTGTCACTTTTTGGGGGGCCATATCATTTCCATTTGGACTCCAGTTTCCTGCCACACACATTAGCCTGATTGGTAACTCTAAATTGTTTCTAGGTGTGAGTGAGCGAGTGAATGTTGTTTGTCTCATTTGTCTCTTTGTGTCCCTGTGATGGACTGAAGACCTGTCCAGGTGTCCCCCGCCTCTCACACAGTGACTGCTGGATATGGGCACCAGTGATCCAACCCAGAAAGGAAGGAGCAGCTAAAGATGATGGATGGATGATTTCCATTTGGTGGTTTTAAACCGAGCTTCTTGTAAATCAAAAAATGTACCAAATTTTTCATATGTGGATTTTTTTTAACCCTCTGGGTCTTATTCTTATTTGACATTTGGGTTTATTCAGGCTGTTTTGGCCACGGCAGGCTCCTGTAGATTCCTCCCTGTAGCCGTTGTGACCAGAAATTATGACATTTAACATCCATCCATACATCCATCCATCCATCCATCCATCCATTTTCTTTACCCGCTTATTCCACTTTGGGTCACGGGGGTCGCTGGTGCCCATGTCCAGCAATCACTGTGCGAGGGGCAGGGTACACCCTGGACGGGTCGCAAGTCCATCACAGGGACACATAGAGACAAACGAGACAAACAACCATTCACTCTCTCACTCACACCTAGGGACAAGTTAGAGTTACCAATCAGTCTAACATGCATGTTTTTGGTCTGTGGGAGGAAACCGGAGTACCCAGAGAAAACCCATGCATGCACGGAGAGAACATGCAAACTCCACCCAGAAAGGCCCCTGGACCGGGGTTTGAACCAAGGACCTGCTCGCTGAGAGGCAGCAGCTCCACCAGTTGCGCCACCGTGCTGCGACATTTAACATGAAGAACAACATTTATGGCAAAACAATATCCTAACAATATTTTTCAAGATTGTCTTAGTAAGTTTTGTTGGGTAAGTGGTGGCACAGAGGCTAGAGAAGGTGCGCCTGTGATTAGAAGATCACCGGTTCAACTCCCTGTACCGATTACTTCAAAATGTGGGATGGAAAGGTGAAACACCCACACCTGCCTCCACCCTCATTTGCCCCACTCTCAGCCCTTGAGCAAGGCCCTTAACCTCCACCGTCTGTGCCCTGGGCGCCCTAGAGTATCAGAGACGTACGTACAAGGTGGAGTAAGCACATCCGTGCACACCCATACCTTCACACAAGTGTTTATCAACTGACTCAGAATAATGAGAACAACACTGTTTTTCTTTTTCTTTTTTTTACTAGGTGCACCAGAAAACATCCAAGTTCAAACAAAAATAAATTACAAAAGGTTAATGTTACCTTCAGATCACTTGTGTTCTTAATGTTCTAGTTTATGGTTCATTTAGAAAACCTTCATACTGTGAGTTGAACAGTTCTCAGGTCAAAACATTTCCACAGAAATATTCATATATTTTAGTGTCAATGAAAAGCAACCACCAGAAGTGCATTTGACACTTTATTCTGAGATGAGGTCCGTTTATTTATTAGCAAAAATATCCTCCATACTGTTACATTTGTGTTAGTGTCTAAAGGTCACAGCTTTGTAATTTAGAAGAACATCAATGTGATTTACACAAAAATAAAGACAAAGCATTTCTGCAGTTGTTTGTGAAACCACTAAACATTGGATTCAACACATGGTGTCAGAAAAAGCTCATCAAGATAATGACCTAGATGCCAAAATATTTTTAGCTTTTCAGACACTCTTCACACTGAATGATGACATCACTGTACTTTCATGGCCTTTTAGAATGTGACTGGTTGATTTGGATAGCACAAAAGCAATCCAAATGTGTCCATGCTTTGAGTACTTCACAAAAGTTTTTTTTTTCTACTATTTGTTTTCAGTGCAGAGATCATGTTCCTACAATATCCCGCTACATCAACAACCACAACTGCACATGATTCTTTCAGATCGCATCAGGATGCAGTTCATCACTAGAAGATCATAAAGACTCTTGGGATGTCCAAGAGGTGAGCCTCTCAACCTGTGTCTGTATCTGAGTCCAAAGCACTCCAAAAAGATACCTTTCAGCCACTTCCTGTGGCCAAGTACAAAGGCGTGCTGGGAGATGACTCTCAGCTAGTTTGCACGTCCAGGTCTGAGAGGATCCCAGGGAATGCTTCTCACCCTGATCATTGTGCAAATCCAAGGGGGTCCTGGGGGAAGCCACTCAGCCTGTTTTTTTTATTCCAGATCGAAGGGGTGCCCAGATTCAGTTTTTATGTGCTTCATGTGTCAGAGGGGTTCCCAATGAATACATGCAAGGCAGTTCCTGTTCACACCAGATACCTCTCCACCACCAGCATCAGGGCTGGCGTACGCTCCTGTTAGTTTATATTAAATTGTTTCCATGGCTTTGTACAACCTGAAGATATTTACTGTATATAAATATGTGAGGTTTAAGGCATCCAGCATCAGTTTTGGACTTGTTGTGGAGGAGAAAATGTTGAGAAATGAGAGGATGAAGGTGAAGGGGTTTTCTGTGCAGAAGTTCAACCACATTTACCAGAATACCTTTCTCCCCCAGCATGGCTGACCATGATGAGAACAAGCGCTTCTTGCTTTGCATCTAAAAGGCAAATGACGGATGGCTGAGCATAGCATGGTACTTAACGGCATGTGGAGAACTGATTATCTGTCTAGGCTGCATAGTTATAGCATGATCTGATCATTTGGGTTGAGTTGAGAGTTGCAGCAAAATCTTTGAGCTGCCAACTTTGTATGGGCGTGATGGTCTGTGACCTATGCAAGAGGCCACGATAGCCAGGTCTGCTTCAAATTATTGACGTCTAAACCACGGGGATCATTGTGGACCCCACATCATCATGGATATGTTGCTACAATGCTCCTTCACATTCTCCCCAGAAATCTAAAATTTAGACTTAAAGGTAGATATAGATGGACTTATCATACTCAGTTACGCACTATCAGAGGGGAACTAAATGCCTACGGAAAACTTCGCCAAGACCTTGCAAAGACTTTCCAAGTTCTAGCAAATGTTTATGTTGTAATTCAGTGTGAAGGAAGTCTTACTGAGAAAATCTATTTGAATGCAACATTAGTATATCAGACCTTTTCAGGTTTTAAGAACCAGAGACTTTTAAGGAATGCTATGTCTTTAATTTGTACTTAGTTGTATAACTAGGATAGTAAATATGAGTGTTCGCTTGTTTGGCAGGAGAGCTCACAGATCAGCCTACTATCAGCGAACACGTGTGTTGCGTGTAAGGTTGAGCAAACAGGATGGCTCAGTGATTGAATGTCAGCTCTGTGGAACTGATCCGTTATGTAAGACCTGGCCACCGAGACACAAAACTCAATTCTTCTCAGGGAGAGAAATAGATTCTCAGTATCAACCTCTGAAACAGGCAGCTTTTAGCTGAAATATGTTCTGCAGAGAGATCATTTTTTTTCCCCTTTCGAAGACGTCACACCTAGATGACTCACTGCTATTATGGTATGCAAATTTTATGAAGAGTTCCAACAAAAGTATAGATGATTTGATAATATGCAAATTTTGGATAAATCAGAAGGAAGCTGTCGCAACATCACATGAACTAAAAGCTAAAGGCTGAGAGACTTTAAGCTCCAGTGTTTGTGTTGATGCACTCTGCAGAGGAAACATTAATTTTGTTCAAACAGAATGATGAAGTCAGGAGAACCAGAGCACAAGCCTAACACAAACACCCTGTTAGCACTTCTTGGAGTGGATTTTTTAGGATTTCCTTTATTACCTACACTTCAGCAAACAAACAAACCACCACATGTCAGGTGAAAATGAAGAATGTGTTTGTGTGGTTGCAATAAAAAAGCATCTAGAAAATAATGTGCTGAATTTTTGGTTCCTTTGTCTTAATAACCATTAATGACTTAATTTTAGCCAAATGCATTTTGATTTTCCATCCATCCATTATCTTTACCCGCTTATTCCACTTTGGATCATGGGGGTCGCCGGTGCCCATGTCCAGCAATCACTGTGCGAGGGGCGGGGTACACCCTGGACGAGTCGCAAGTCCATCACAGGGACACATAGAGACAAACGAGACAAACAACCATTCACTCTCTCACTCACACCTAGGGACAATTAAGAGTTACCAATCAGCCTAACATGCATGTTTTTGGTCTGTGGGAGGAAACCGGAGTACCCGGAGAAAACCCATGCATGCACGAAGAGAACATGCAAACTCCACCCAGAAAGGCCCCTGGACCAGGGTTTGAACCAAGGGCCTGCTCGCTGAGAGGCAGCAGCTCTACCAGTTGTGCCACCGTGC